TCACTTCTATCTTTTTCATTCATTTCATAGTGCAAGCTTATCACTCAGAGCTAAGGTGCTCAAAAGTGCCTTAGTTAGGCATGCTAAAAGTTTCCATGCTAACGCTGTAGCTACTTTGCCAAAACCCAGCAAAAACACACGAGAGTGTTTCATGACAATAAAAAGAGTAAAAACTCAGCCCTAAGTGTTAGGAAAGGAAAAGGAAAAATATGTGGCCATCTCATCAAAGAACCATAAAGTTCTTTTCTTAACTATTCAGAAAAGTGCCTTTGATTTGCAGTAAAAGGAGCTTTATATCTCAGAGGTACAGTACAGTAGAGTGATTACTATCATGTAATGTGACATTTGCTCAGATAACGACTTTTTTTGTGAATGGTTGAGTCAATAAGCACATAAAATCCCTGTATTTTGTCAGTGTCTGTGTTATTGCTGCCCTTTGGCTGAAGTAATTATATCGTTTTTTCTTTTCTGAAAACTTACGTAGTGTTTTCTTTCTCTTTATTAAGTCTGTTCTACTTTAATTACTCAAGGTTTGGCAGTCTTCTTATTGTTTGCACTCTTGTGCTAGAAAATGAGTTGCACTAGGCTGGTTAATGTGCTTGGTTAGAAATACTGTATTGGGTAAAATAATTTGGATGAATAAGAAAAAAAAATTCACTTTCCCTTTGAAATTCAAATATTATTATTCAAAAATACATATTTTAGAAGTATATCATACTTGAGTTTCTAAATAAGTGCTATATATTACCTGATTCCCAATAGGTGAAGTATTAGCTAACTAGCTGTGTGGTCTCTTCCACCTTACTCAGGTGTTAGCAGAAGGTCTAGAGGAGGAGATAAGAAGGTTGGAATTTCTATTGGATATACACCAGAGGATTAAAACAGAGAGAACAGAACCTGGAAGACTTGTATCTCTTTCCTGGTTTTGCCATATACTGCTTTTGTGGCCCTAAATAAACCATTAGATCCTTATGCCTCACACTGATAAATGGGAGTAGTATTTTGCACACACAAAAAAAGTGTTTTGCACTCTTCTAGGCACTGTGTTTGCAAACTGCATTGAGGCCACAATTCTGTACTCTAAAAATGAATTTAAAAAAACCAAATCTACTTCATCTCATAAGAGAAAGTCCCAACTGAGCAAACTGCTGATACATAAATGACTGAAGTCAATTCAGCCACTTAAAGTTGGGGATATTCTTAAAGAGCTTACTGATTCAGGGCCTTAACCTCTCAGGAACACATTGATTCGTAGCTTGAGGTAGTGTTTTTTTGCTGTTTCTTTCA